AGGAGGAGGAGGAAGAGGAGGAGGAAGATTAGGAGGAGGAGGAGGAGGAGGAGGAGGAGGGGGGAGTGTGAGTTGCGAGGGCGATGCGCACGGGAAGTGGCTGGAGAGCGGAGGGGGTCGAACAGGCCGTCGGTCCTCCTGCAGGGCGCCAAATGCTGCACGGGCTCCCCAAACCCTCTCGGGGAGCGGGCAAGGGCTGCCGGTTCGTGCCTATGTGGGGCGCGTGCCCTGCCTCTGCCGCGGCCGTCCCGTCCCCTTCTCCCGCACGCTGGCCAGCTCGCTTCTCGGTGCCCCCTGTTTGGCTCCCTCGCCGGTGCAAGCCACTCTGCCCCGCCGCCGACGAGGAGGTGCCGTGGCCGTCGTGCCGTGCCGCGTCGCGCCGCCCAGCCGTGAGCTCGTGGGGCGCGGGGTGCGGTGCAGGGCCTCCCGCTTGGTTGTGCACCATTCGTTCAGCAGCCCCCCCGCTGAGGCTACGGCTACGGACGCGGTGCACCGTTCGCCACCGCTTCAACTAGGAAAGAGCTTAGTTGCCTCGATACGCCCGTTTTGAGACGCGGTGCGTCCCGTGTTCAAGACGTCCGTGTCAATACGTTGCGTGTTGGCTCCACGTATTGGACCACGTTTTGGCGAGTGTATCGCGTCGGACCTACGTTTTCAGCCTGCGTGTTGAGCTCCGTATCAATACGATACGTGTTGCGTGTTGCGCATCGGGGCAGCTAAGGAAAAGAGTCGTTGTCATGCCGTATCGCAGACTCGTGGCCTTTGTTGGCCGAGCGGCGCCGTGCCGTGTCAGATTGCGGCGCCGTCGCATGCGGGTTGTTGTACTGCCGTGTTGTGCGTGTCGGAGACTCGTGGGTCCGTTGGGCGTGCGGTGCGGTGCCGTTATCGTTATGTTCGGTCGTGTCGAGCCGTGTCGTATTGTGCCGTGTGCCGTGCCATGCAGGTTCCGTAATCCGTAGGGTTCGCGATGTTGTGCCGGGTGATGCCGCGCTTTGGCGTGTCGTACGTTGTGTTGTGCAGTGTCGTTGATTTGCGAATCCGTTGGGCGTTCGGTGTTGTACCATCTATTGTGCCGCGTTGCCTCGTCGTCTGTCCGTTTTACAAGTCCGTCGGGCGGTACGGTGTTTTGTCGCGCAGTGTGGTCAATTCGCGAATACGTTGGGCGGTGCCGTGTCGTTTTGTGTCGCGTCTCGTCGTGCTGCTACACGTAGTGTGTACGGCCTCCTTTTGTGAGGTTTTGTTCTTAGCTCGGGGTGCTGGGAAACATGTGATCCTCACATGCTAAGTGTTCTTCCCACCCGCGACGTCCTCGCGTTTCTTAGTCGCACCGTCTCCTCTTCACCTCCTCCTCTCCCTTCCTCCTCATCCTCCCCCTTGCTCGTACACCCTTGCCTCCTCCCTCTCCTCCTCCTCCTTCTCCTCCTCCTCTTCCTCCTCCTCCTCCTCCTCCTCCTCTTCCGCCTCCTCTTCCTCATCCTCATCATCATTATCCTATTCCTCCTCCTCCTTCTCCTCCTCCTCCGTCTGCTGCAGGGCGCGGCTGCTGTTCAGTGACCAACAGACAGGCGCTTACATGTGTAACACACGCACACAGACACATGCACATCATGCATACACCGCGCACACACACACAATACCATAACATACACCCGTATATATGGACACACACCAGACGCTCGCCAGCATCGGAAAGCGTTACAGGTATGGACACCAGTGTGGGTGCGCAGGGGTTGGTCCATCAGCGCGGTCTCCATGCGTGCCAGGGTCGGAAAGCGTGGCAGACGTGGCAGACGTTGCATTTTATCAACATCACAGGGGGGGGGGGGGGCGCGCGGAGTTGGTTCCTCAGCGCGGCCTCTATATGCGTGCCCGGGTCGGAAAGCGTGGCAGGCATGGCATTTTCTCTACACCAGAGGGGGTGCGCAGGGTTGGTGTCCTCGGCGCAGCTTCTATGCGCGCCAGGGACGGAAAGCGTGGTAGGAGAGGCATTGTTTCGACACCACAGGGGGTGCACAGGGGGTGGTCCATCAGCGCGGCCCCATATGTGTGCCAGGATCGGGGAACGGAGCAGGCGTGGCATTTTCTCTACAAAACAGTAAGTGCGCAGAGGATGGTCCTTCAGCGCTGCCTCTTTGCGTGTCACGGTCGGAAAGCATGACGTGAGTGGCGTTTTCTCGACACAACAGGGCATCCGTGGGGGGGTGGCCCCCTTACCGCGATCTCTACATGCGCGCCAGGGTCGGGGAGTGGGCAGTCGTGGCGTTTCCTCTGCCCGATAAGGGGGTGCGCACGGGGTGGTCGCTGCCTCCATGCGTGCCAGCGTCGGGGAGCGGGGCAGGTGTGGCACCTTCTCGACGGCAGCGGGGGTCCGCAGTATGCGTGCCAGGGTCGGGAATCGTGGCAGACGCTGTATTTGTTGTTAACGCCAGAGGGGGGTGCACAGGGGATGGTCCACCAGCGCGGCCTCTATGCGCGCAAGGGTCGGAGTGCGTGGGAGGCGAGGCACTTTCGCGTCACCAAAGGGGGTGCGCAGGGGGTGGTCCTTCGGCGCGGCCGCTATGCGTGGCAGGGTCGGAAAGCGTGGCAGAAGTGGCATTTTCTTTGCATCAGAAGGAGGCGCGAGGAGTGGTCCCTCAACTCGGCTTCGATGTGCGTCAGAGTCGGAGAGCGTGGCAGACGATGCACTTTCTCGACACCACGGGGTGCGCAGGGGGTGGTTCCTCAACGCGGTTTCTATGCGTGCGAGGGTCGGAAAGCATGGCAGGAGCGGCATTGTTCGTTGACACCAGAGGGGGTGCGCAGGGGGTGGTTCACTAGAGCGGTCTCAATGCGTGCCAGGGTCGGAAAACGCGACAAGCGAAGCGGGTGTGCAGGGGATGGTCCTTCAGCGCGGCCTCAACGCGCGCCAGTGGCGGAAAGCGTGGCGGGTGTGGCAGCCAGAATTGTAGACATGTTGACCCAGATTGGCTCGAATGCAGCAGGTGTTGCCTCGCGGCTTGTGCCGCTCATGTGGCCCAGGTGTAGCATTGACGCATTGCTGCCTCCGTGCGTGACACACGCAGGCGTCGAAGCCAGCATGGTGAACGGTGAACGCGCGCTGTTGCGAGGCAGCGCTGGCAAAACACGCATTAATTCCGACCATCGACAGCTGAAGAAATAGTGGCGTGCAGCAGTAGTGGTGGTAGTAGTGATAATAGTTGTGCCTCGCAGTAGTAGCGTTCAGTAGTGGCAGTAGTGGTAGCAGTAGCAGCAGCAGTAGTAGTAGTAGTAGTACTATTAGTAGTAGTAGTCGTAGTAGAAGTAGTAGTAGTAGTAGTAGTAGTAGTAGTAGTAGTAGTAGTAGTAGTAGTAGTAGTAGTAGTAGTAGTAGTAGTAGTAGTAGTAGTAGTAGTAGTAGTAGTAGTAGTAGTAGTAGTAGTAGTAGTAGTAGTAGTAGTAGTAGTAGTAGTAGTAGTAGTAGTAGTAGTAGTAGTAGTAGTAGTAGTAGTAGTAGTAGTAGTAGTAGTAGTAGTAGTAGTAGTAGTAGTAGTAGTAGTAGTAGTAGTAGTAGTGGTAGAAGTAGTAGTAGTAGAAGTAGTAGTAGTAGTAGTAGTAGTAGTAGCAGCGAAAAGCTTCTAGCAAGGCTTCGGCGAAAAGCGATTGAGCTACAGGGTCCCTGAGGACTTCCTTGTCCTTCCGCTGAGATCGCTCTGGCCGCTGCCCTTGCTCAAGGCTTCGCAGTGTGCCCGTAACCAAATAATGATATGTTGCGAGGGCGGCGTCCCTGTGGCTTCGCAGTCCATGAATACGGTGAAGAGTAGGACCATCACACAGCAGCAAGTCCAAGATACTAGAATTCTTTACGCTTCGCGTATCCCCACCAGCCCATCTCACAGCAGCAACTCTTGCGAAGCATACCGACAGTCGTGTTGTTCATGCGTGTGTCCGCTTGGCCCCGCATATGTCCCCTGTTCCTCCTTCCTCCCGCCTCCTTGTACATCCTCCTTGTGTGGGGAGCGGGAGAAGGACGAGGCGGAGGAGGAGGGAGAGAAAGCGCTCCTCGTGATTTGAGTCGTTTGGGGTTTCTCGTCCTGGTGTGAGTCGTTCGGGCCCTTCTTCCTGGTGTGAGTCGTTCGGGCTCTTCGTGGTGTGAGTCGTTCGGGCTCTTCGTCCTGGTGTGAGTCGTTCGGGCTTCTCGTGGTGTGAGTTGTTCGGGCCCCTCATCCTGGTGTGAGTCGTTCGGGCCCCTCCTCCTGGTGTGACTCGTTCGGGCTCCTCGTGGTGTGAGTCGTTCGGGGCCCGCGTCGTGGTGTGAGTCGTTCGGGCTCCTCGTGGTGTGAGTCGTTCGGGCGCCTCGTCCTGGTGTGAGTCGTTCGGGCCCTTCCTTGTGGTGTGAGTCGTTCGGGCTCTTCGTGGTGTGAGTCGTTCGGGCCCCTCGTCCTGGTGTGAGTCGTTCGGGCTCCTCTGGGGCCTCTTGGGGGCCTCTTGGAGCCTCTTGGGGCCTCTTGGGGGCCTCTTGGGGGCCTCTTGGGGGCCTCTTGGGGGCCTCTGGGGGCCTCCTCTTGGGGGCCTCTTGGGGGCCTCTTGGGGGCCTCTTGGGGGCCTCTTGGGGGCCTCTGGGAGGCCTCTTGGGAGCCTCCTGGGGGCCTCTTGGGGCCATCTTGGGGCCTCTTGCGACCTCCTCAGAAGCGCAAAGGAGCGCTGGCCCCTGAGAAGGACAAAATGAAGCCAAAACCTTCGTAAAATCAATGATTTTGCTATGAAGGAAGATGAGCGCGGCCGCCTCAGGAGGCCAAAATTGGGCCAAAACCGTAGTAAAATCAATGATTCTGGCTTCAAAGAAGAGCAGAGGGGCCAAACTCCTCGTGAGGGTCGTCGTTTTTTAGCCCTCCCAGGAGTCGAAAAAGACCCCCCTGGCGACGCCCCGGGGTCCCTCTCCAGGCCCAGGGGGAGGGGGGAGGGGGAGGGGTAAACCCCTCCCCGAAGGGGAAGAAGGGGGGTTGAGGACAGAGCGGGCTCTCTAAACCACTCACGCCCAAAGGGCTGGTGGGATTCACATCCGAAATGTCTCCCATGGGCTCCGCGCCTGCTTCCATGAAGGTGACTTTCTCCTGTGCGGGTTTATCGAAAAATATATTTGCAACGAGTACAGAACGCCCAATGCAGAATTCCCCAAGCAGGTCCCTGTTCGGGGTGTCGACCTCGGTCAAGGCCCGCCTGCCCCAAGTAAAATCACCGACGACGTATTCCTCTCCACGATCTGCTTGCCCAATCCTGGCATTGAAATCACCAAGGATGATTTTTGTGACGTAGTCCGAGCACGTCCCTCAGTATTTGTCAAGCTCGTTGTAAAAGTGTAGCCTCTCTGGCAGCTGTCGGCGGTTGTGGGGGGCGTAAACGCAATAGACTACGAAAATCTCTCTGCCGAATCGGAGTTTCAATAAAGCCATTCTGTCCGAGATCTGTTTGTGGGCCTTGATGCTGTGAACGACGGTTGGCGCCGCAAGGAATCCAACTCTTGCCCAAGATCGTTCATCAGTGCCCGCTCCGGAAAGTCTCACATGGTAATCGCTGCTCTCGTCCTCGTACTCCTCCGCCCTGGTGGCCCGCGCCTCCTGCAAGCGTAAGATGGGGATGCCGTGTCGCTGCATGTGTCGGACTATCTCTGAGAGCTTGGCGTCTGTAAGACCCCGCACGCTGTAAGACCCCGCACGTTCCACGTAGCAACCTCGAGGTCGTGATGGGCTGCAGCATGTCTGAGAAAATCTTGAATGGGGTCGGTGGTATCCTTGCCCTTTCCTTCCACGTCAGCCGGAGCACAAGTGGTACCTTGGCCCTTCGCGTCCACATGGCGGACTGGTGAAACCCTGACCGTGCGCCCCTGGCACCGTCAATATGGCTTACCTTTTCGGCCCCTTTGCTCACACGAGCTCTGCTCTGCGGCGCTAGACGATTTTTAGCTTTTTATTGAATTGCGTCCCATTTCGGTGAGCTCTGGAACTCGACCCAGGATTCCCAGTCCGCGTCCAGCCAGAGTATCTTCAACGTGTCCGCCTCAATCGTCGCACGCATGATGTTCTTGCCCCCCGCTCTGATGATGCCGTTGTCCGTGTCAATTTTGAGGTAGCGTTTTGCGAACCCCCATTGTGTCAGCAAGTACCGCAAGCCAAGCAAGAGTGAGGAAACGACTCGTGCCTCAATCGTGGCGTCGAGGTTGCACCATACTCTGTTGTTGCCGGCCCTGGGTTGAAGCGACCTGGCAGCAACCTCTTGAAGATGCGTCTGGGCTTGTTGTGCCACGCCCAGGGCGTCAAACTGCATGGACATGATGCCCTTGAGGTTCTCGCCTGGGAGTCCTCTTTTGTATGTTCTCGCTGCGACGAGGCGCGTGTCCGCCAGAGCTCGTTGCGCCCAGCGTTCAGCATCGGCAATGGTATCTCGTGGAAGTCCTCCAAGGACGACTGTCGACGTCTCCCTCGCCTGCGCAGTTGATGTCGGAGATCTCGGCGTTGTGGCTTGCGCGTGATTGAGCGCATCCTTGAGCTCGTTGATTTGTTTGCGAAGGTCGAGCTGCATGCTTGTCATTTCAGCCCGGACCGCTGCCAGATCGTCTTCCATAGTGGTGGCTTGGATGTTGAGTTTTTCCACCTCTGCTTCGATAGTCGTCTTGAAGTCGCGGAAGTCGGATTTGATGGTCTCCTTGAGTTGCTTGAACTCGTGGCCGAGGGTCCGGACCCTCCGCATGGTAGGTGCAAGATGCGTTTTGAACATTTTTTGCATGGCCTTGATCGTCACTGGGCCATCCTATTCCAAATCATTGTCGTCTTCGTCGTCGACGTTGAACGTGCTTGTCCCTGGTGAGCTGGAGTCTCCGAGGAGATCCACCTCTTGGGGTCGATCACCTCCGTGTTGCTGTGCCGTATCGTCCATGGGTGTTGTTGGGCTGAACAGTTTTGCTTGCTTCAGGGTGCTCTTTGGCGGCGGCGTGGCCAGAGCGTGTGCTTCGGGTCGCTCAGGTCGTGTTGGTCCTGCTCGAACTGCTCGTGCCATGAACAGCTGTCGTACAGGAGTACCTGGGGCGCGTCCGTCTGCACCTGCACCCGAAGAAGAAGACATCGTGGCCGTGACGAGACGAATGGAAGAATGCAAGAATCAAGAATGGGAGAGAGTGGGTTGGAGGTCTGGGGAGCGTAATTGTGCGCGCAAGGCCAGGCGGTTGAGGATATTTCGCTTGAGCCAGCCCTTGAGCCAAAATGTGCATTCGTTCAGTGGTAAATTTGAGCACACACACACACACACACATCAGGGCCAGCAGGCCTGCTCGAGGTGAGGACTCTTCGGTTCCACCAAGCGTTCCTGCGAAACTGCCATCAACTTTATCCAGAGCCTTGCTGAGTCGAACGCATGCACAGCCGCATCGTCTTAGTTTTGCAGCCTTAGCTTCGCCCCGATCCGTCGATTCCCCCAACTCCCTCATTTACCGCCTGCTCCTCATACGATATCCAGAACCAAGCCACGACTTCCGATTTCGGGAGGTGGACAACCGACCGATCAAGGGGGCATAAGCCCATGGGCCCAGGGGGCAGGGCACCTCCACTTCCAGCGCAGCTTGCTGAGCAAGATGAGCTGTACGCTCTGTGCGGGGATCAGGGATATAGTAATTTACCGAGTAGCTCCAAGAAGGGTGGAACGGAGATTCCAGAGCCTCTCCACACTTCGGACACTTGCCGTTCGCAACCGCCCGATGTGGAGGGGGAGTAGGAGGAGGAGGAGGAGAAGGAGGAGGAGGACCAGTGTAAACCCCAGACTCATCAACGATGTTGGAATACACCCTCCCTCCAAGCTCCCTCATCACAGGCCCCTACAAGGGTTCATCTCCACTGAGGGACGTGCCCCGTTGGGAGACAACCGTTCGAAGACCCTGAAGCGTGCCAAAACAGCATTCCCGGGACTTCAACTCAACGTCACGAATCAACCCGACAGTTGCGTCTTGACGATCCTGAATCGCGCCAGAACACCATTCCTGGGACTTCAACACCATGAACCAGCGTAACTGCTGCGCCCTGACAATCCTGAACCGTTCCAAAACACCGCTTCCGGCACCTTAACCATGGGAATCAGCGGAGGTTTTGAAAATCTTCAGAACGATCATGCGCGGCGCTAAGGCGAGAGCCACATTTCGAAAATGAACCGCACTGCATCCGTGAAACTCTTGCAAGTTTAAAAAGCGAATGCGCGCGGTTCTAATGCGATAGCCACATTTTGAAACGACCCGCCCTAATCTGCTGAACTCTTGTCAGCATTCGAGGCGAATTCGCGCGACGCTAAGGCGAGAGCCACATCTTGAAAACTACCCGCCCTCAATCCGTGAAATTCTTGCCATGTTTAAACGAATATGCGCGGCGCTAAGGCGAAAGCCACATCTTAAGAACCACCCGCCCTCCATCTGTAAAATTGCCGTCAGTGCTTAAGCTTCGGGGTCCTAAGTGGTATGGAAGTCTCAGGCGAAACGCCCAGTCCGCCCTTTCGACCGGCATCGGGGTACGACAGGGAGGAACTATGTATAAGGAAAGGAAAGGAGGAGGAGGAGGAGGAGGAGAAAGAGGAGAAAGAGGAGGTGGAGAGGGGGAGGTGGAGGAGGGGGAAGGGGAGGATGATCAGAAGAGGGGCCAAGCAGGGTGGACGGCACGTTTCAGGCAGAGCCTCTGACCAAGCAGCTGGCGAGGTTGCAGCACGAGGCGGCGACTGAGGGGGGCGGCGAAATGAGCGATCTCGATTTCTTAGTCGTGTCCTTTTCTGTTTGACTCTACGCTTGTCTTTGTGATGCGCAGCCCTCCTGTGGTGTTGGGTCCTGGTTTTGTTAAGCCACCCGAGCGTCCGCTCATCACGCCAATCGTGGTGCTGCCACACCCCGCCAGCTACGGCCACTCCCCAATAAGTTCGGCGCCCCACATCCCACCCCAGCGGGTGGGCTCGCAGACTGCACCTCGGCACAGCTTTGTCCACTCGTCACGCCCCGCTGTGCAAGGAAGGGATCGCGGGGTTGAAGGAATACCCCCTTGATGGGGGGGAGAGCTCACACGAAGCGCCAACACAGGCCTGGCAGGCCGCCCCCCCCCCCCCCCCCCCCCCCCCCCGCGCGGCGCCCCGGGCGCCGACGCCGCGAGGCAGAGCAGGACGACAAACCGGCCCCAGGGAAGGGATCGTTTTTATTCATGGTTTTCCCGATCGGCGCGGGCTCTCATTGTTGTTTCATTGTTGTTATTATTGTTGTTATTCATTGCTTTCACTCATTGTTTTCATTGTTGTTGTTCATTGATGTGATTCATTTTTGTATTCATTGTTGTTATTGATTGTTTTCATTCTTTGTTTTTATTCATTGCTTCCCCCCCATGGAGTGGATCGTGGCCGTGTTGGGGCACGCGGCGACGTGAGCCTGATCATGACGAGCAAGCGAATCGAGTTGCACACGACACTCGCCCGACGAGGCACAGCCCTGCGGGGCAGGCACGTCGGCACCGTCGGCAGGCTCCGAGGGCTAGCGGCTCCGCTAGGAGGGCTGCGAACGTGCCGGGCGCCGGAAGCTTGAGTGTGAGCGTTCGAGTCCGATGTCCCAGCGCGGCCTCCGCGTTGAAGCGACCGTGGTTGGTCTCTTGACATCGAACCTTGCAAAACCATCCCTGGAAATTGACTCTGCCCAGGAGGGGGAGGACGAGGAGGAGGAGGAGGAGGAAGCGGAGGAGGAGGAGGAGGAGGAGGAGGAGGAGGAGGAGGAGCAGGCCGTAACCGGTTTGGCTCAAGGTTTTGATTAGCGCGGCGCCCCATCACATGTTCATCACATTCCAGCTTCCGACAGTTGTCTCTTTTTTACAAGATTTACAAGTCCGCATATTTCAGCGAGTTTCGGGCCAGCAATCGTTTCACCCAGTAGTTCTCGGAGGCGAAGTAGTGGTGGCATCACAGCCACCCATGGACACCATCAGCGAGCGGTTGTTTGTGACAGTGTCTTCTTTCTTTTTGGTTTCAATCTGCCATATTTTCCGAGAAGGCAAGGAGCACATTGGACATGGCCGTTTGGGCGTTGAGGAGGCTGGACACGGCGTCCATCCTTATGCGGCGGGCTTTCCACGAAGAGCACAGCGACGGCCGAGATATTTCAGCAGGCATGGGCGTTAGGGGACCACGGCGCCGACGGCTCCACGAGCGCGTCGCGCTTCGACTTAGACTTGGAAGCGGCCGAGGGGCTGGGTGTAAAGGTGGTGCTGAAGGGCCGTGGAGGAGTGCGCGGGTGCAGCTTCTGGCTGTGCCCCTGGCGGCCCAGCGCTACCGGAGGTCGCAGCACTCAGGCGGCCGAGACAAAGCAGCTGCCAGCGGCGAGTTGGCACACCAGGCACGCGGCCGCGCCGCCAGAGGTCGCAGCACCAGGTGCGCGCCAGCAGTTTTCGTCAGGGCGCGGAAAGGGAGACTAATCGGCTACACGTAAGATTGACCTTTCGTTGGAGTGACCTTTGGTGCGGACACTGGGGTCCGCAGATGGCTGGATGCGATGCGATAGCAGCGGCTTGCGCGCTCTGGTTCGGCCCCCCCGCGGCCACCGAACGTCGTGCACCAAAAGTCACTCGGCCGCCGAACGGCCGCCGAACGGCTGAGAGCCGGTGTGGAGACGAGAGGCCCCCCCGCACGGCTGGAGACGGCAAGCTCACTCAAGAGGAGGAGGAGGAGGAGGAGGAGGAGGAGGAGGAAGAGGAGAAGGCGGAGGAGGAGGCGGAGGAAGAAGGAGGAGGAGGAGGAGGAGGGGAGGAGGAGAGAGGAGGAGGAGGAGGAGGAGGAGGGGGGGGGGGGAGGAGGAGGAGGAGGAGGAGGAGGAGGAGGAGGAGGAGGGAGGAGGAGGAGGAGGAGGAGGGAGGAGGAGGAGGAGGAGGAGGAGGAGGAGGAGGAGGAGGAGGAGGAGGAGGAGGAGGAGGAGGAGGAGGACCAGGAGAAGGGGGAGGAAACTACGCAGCACGGGCCCGAGACCAGGCAGCCTGCTGATGCGACAGCAGGATCGCCGGGGGGGGGGGGGAGGCCGCCCTGCGTGAGCTGGGCGGCGTGCAGCACGGCGGCCTTCTGGAAGGATCGGTTGGCAGCCCCAGGGCTCTCGTCTGAGCATGCACGGCGAGGTTCAGGCAAGCAGCCGCTCCCTCTTCGGTGCATTTGGTGCCGGAGTTTGAGTCTTGCGGTTCGCTTCAGTTGACGTTCCAGCTTTCCTGGCGCAACGTCGTTCGGGAGCACCGCCATTTGTGATCTGACGCAGGCTGGCCAGAGGATTCATCATCTGAGCGGGGTTTGCGTCGCGCTGGAGAAAAAAACAAACAAAAAAAAATGTGTTGGCTCGGAATCGATGGGCGAGGCAACGAAATCCCACACGCACTCGCTTTTCGGAGAGATCGCGCCGTGATCCCATGCGGTCTGGGGCGCCGTAGGCAGGAGTATGCGGAAGTTTGGGAGCAGCTGCGCCCGGTAGCCCCATGTGGGCCGTTCTGGCATGGGGGTTCGTTTGCGAGGGATCGAGTGGTCGATGTCTCGCGCTGGGCGGAAGAAAAGTTTAGCTCCGCTGGCGGAAGGAACATAGCACCAAAAAACAACAACATGTTCGGGTTCACGGTTCCCATAGCAGGTCTTGTGTGTCCAAAGAGGTGCCCAATGAGATTAGGCCGTGTGACATGATTTCGGCCTGGGAGGAGAGTTGTTCTTCACCAGCGCCTGGATTGCTGCATGCAGCCACAGCGAGGGGCCCGATCGCAGAGCTGACTGGCAGAGCGCGAGCCGCATATCGAACATTGACGAAAAAATGCGCGGAAGACGAGGAGGAGGAGGAGGAGGAGGAGGAGGAGGACGAGGAGGAGGAGGAGGAGGATACGTAATGAGGCCAGGAGGGCAGCATCCGATGGGACTTCATGCCTCCAGCTCACCAGCTCGCCATGAGGAGGCCGCCGAGGAGAAGCCGCGGGCTGGCCTTCCAAAGGGCCCAACCGTTGCGCCCAAGGAGCAAAGTAGGAGAAGAGCAGCGGAAGCCGCAGCAGAGGAGGAGGGGCAGGAGCGGGGGGAGCAGCAGCAGCAGGGCGGTTGCGGGCTGCCCCTTTCCAGGGCCCCCTCCTCTCTGGGCGAGGGTTTTCGGGCCCCGCCCCCCCTTGGGAAGAGAAGGACGAGGAGGAGGAGGAGGAGGAGGAGGAGGAGGAGGAGGAGGGAGGAGAGGAGGAGGAGGGAGGAGGAGAGGCGGGAGGAGGAGGAGGAGGAAGGAGGAGGAAGAGGAGGAAAGGAGGGAGGAGGAAGGAGGAGGAAGGAGGAGGAAGGAGGAGGAAGGAGGAGGACGGAGGACGGAGGAAGAGGAGGAGGAGGAGGAGGACGGAGAAGAAGCAGTAGAGCAGGAGCAGCAGCAAAGGAGACGAGAGGAAGAGGAGGAGGAAGAGGGCGAAGGATGAGGGAAAAGAAGCAGAGGGGAGCAGGAGAAGGATGTGTGGAGGAGGAGGAGGAGATGGAGGAGGAGGAGGAGGAGGAGGAGGAGGAAGAGGAAGAGGAAGAGGACGAGGAAGAGGAGGGAGGCCAGGGATGCCGAGGAGCAGGAGAATGGAGGAGGCAGGAGGCCGTGGAGCAGGAGGAGGAAAAGGATCAGGAGGATCAGGAGGAGGGGGCCGACAGCGGGGGCCTGGCACTGCCCAGCCGCTGCTCGCCGCCAGACCACGCGGGTGGCCTCGGGCCTCCGGGCGGTGGAGGCGGGCGTGGAGGAGCTGCGGCGGGCGAGCAGCGCGGAAGCCGTGCAGGCCTCGCGCGCGCGCACGCGGGGAGGGGGAGGGAGGGAGGAGGAGGGGGAGGGGGAGGGCCAGTGTAAACCCAAGACGCATCAACGATGCTGCAATACACCCTACCTCCAAGCTCCCTTCCCGTAGGCCCCGAAAGGATCTGATTTTCATGCAGGGGGAAGGCCCATGAGAAGGCAACCGTTTGAGAATCCCCAATCGTGGCAAAACAGAAGTCCTGGGGCTTCAACGCCGCGGATCAACGTGACTGCTGCGCCCTGACAGACCTAGATCGCGCCAGAACACCGTTCTTGGGACGTCAAAACCCGAATTAGATTGCTGCTGCGTCCTGACAATCCAATCGTGCCAGGACACCGTTCCTGGGACTTCGACCACACGAATCCTTCAACAACTGCTGCAAACTGTGAAAAAAAAAACGAATGTGCGCGGAGCTAAGGCGAGAGCTACATCTTCACAACGGTTCGCCCTCCATCTGCGAAGCTGTCGCAAACTGTTCCGACGAATGCGCGCGGCGCTGAGGCGAGAGCCGCGTCTTGAAGACCAACCGCCCTCCATCCGTGGAATGTGGTGCCATATTTAATGCGAATGTGCGCGGTGCTAGGGTGGGAGCCGCATTCTTAAACCGGCCCGCCCTCCATCCGAGAAGTTGTTGCCAACTTTTCTGTCAAGACGAACGTGCGCGGCGCTGAGGCGAGAGCCACATTTGGAAAACCAACCGCCCTGCATCCGTGAAATTGGTGCAATCTTTCAGGCGAACACGCGCGGCGCCAAGGCGAGAACACCATTTTGACAAGAACGAAGCGCCCAGCCCGCCCTACCAACACGATTGGGAGTGCTACAGGGAGGCGTTATTCATAAGGAAAAGGGACGGAGGAGGAGGAGGAGGAGGAGGAGGAGGAGGAGGAGGAGGAGTCTGGGGCCAGGCAACGGCTGCTCTG